TATATATATATATATATATATATATATATAAATATATAAATATATATATATATTCAGGGTGCGATTTGTGAACAAACCAAAAATATAAAATATTTTTTATTTATTTTTTTGGCAGTTTGTGAATCCCATTTTTGGCAGCTGTTACAGAAACATTTTTGATTTGACCTTGAGATTAGCTTTGATATTTGACCACTATTTCACAAGTTCTTATTTCTGCCAGGAATGCAAAATCAATCGGGAGTAAATTATATTTTGAATAGAATAACGAGACACAAACTTGTACATATTCAATCACGTTTGCTTCCATTTATTTTTGATCAGTGCTTCGCTACACAACATACAAACTTTTACTCCAAAAGTGCACACATTGGGCCTCATTCATGAAACATTCGTAAATATATGAGTAAATTCTGAGTAATTATGCATAAAACGGACCTTCCAGAAAACTCTCCTCCGGATTCACAAATACTTCGTAAAGGTCAGATTTGATAGTTAAAGCTGCAGTCCGTAAGTTTTGCCTCTTTGTCACCATCTCTGTTTGAAAACCTGCAATCGCAGCTGTTTGCGGAATTATCTTCCTTACGTGGGTTGTGCTCCGGCGCACTCCAGAGCGGATTAATCTAATGTTTTGAGGAGTATGTGTGGCAGTCAGTCACCACACCGGTGTGGATATTTACTGTACTTCGACTTTTACTCCAAAAGTGCACACATTATGTATTCACACGTTTACCTCATATTTCTTTAAATAGAATAGAACCATAATGCCTTAATGACTCGCAGAAAGATGATTCTCTATATTCAATATTGCGTGATCATAATTCCCACATTACGGTGACGGTAAACTTTCTGTCTCAATACATTTATGCGTCAGTTTATTATATACAGTATCTGCATTAGGTCACAGTAGAGTGAGTTTTGAGCAAAAACATTATGTATTAATCTCATACTGTCACTCTGAAATAGACTAATGGCGTGCACTGACTTTCTGAAAAGCCCTGCATCGATTGAGGTCCGTGAACCAGGACACGAAACCCAGAAGGTCTCTATTAAGCGGGAGCGCTGACAGTTAAAGTCCATTTCTGATTTTATTGTTGTTTGTATTGTCATGTTGCAGTATTTTACTTAATAAAAATTATTGTATTTTTTGGTATTTTATATGCTCTGTTGGTGGTTGGTGGGGTAGCATCACCCGGGGGATTTTTTAATCTTTTTTGGCTGGTAAGGCCGATACGGGCACGGAATGATCTGCCGCATGTCGGGCAGACATGTGTGGGCACCACTGTTGCATCATTTGCAGCTCTGGCTTTACGGAGTGCTCGCTTCTCTTGTGCTATAGTTGTCCTTCTAGCTTCAGATCTCTGGCAGCCTTGGTGGATCAGCGTGCGCCATGTCGATCGGTCTTGTGCCAGGGTTTCCCAGGAGGTGATGTCAATATCCAGGGACTTGAGAGAGGCTTTCAGCGTATCTTTGTATCGCTTCTTTTGTCCCCCGTGCGATCTCTTTCCTTGAGACAGCTCACCATAGAAGAGCTGTTTGGGTATGCGGTGGTCTGGCATCCTTACTTGTCTGGGCTTTCATCAGCAGGGTGTGAACTGACGGCATGCCTGCTCTAGAGAGGACTTCTGTGTCTGGCACCTTGTCCTGCCACCTGATCCTCAGAAGTCTGCAGAGGCAAGTCGTGTGGAAGTGGTTCAATTGCCTAGCGTGCCTCCTGTATACAGTCCAAGTCTCACTGGCATACATCAGGGTAGTCAGCACTACTGCCCGGTAGACTTTAAGCTTTGTAGCAAGGCTTATTCCACGGCGGTCCCACACGTTGGTCCGCAGTCCGCCGAATGTAGAGCTTGTCTTGGCAATTCTGCAGTTGACCTCGATGTCAATTGTCACTGCGCGGGAGAAGGTGCTGCCAAGGTATGTAAATAGGTCCACTGCTTGTAGCTTTTGTCCCTTCACTGTGATGGTGGGCTCTTGGTATTGGGCTTTCGGAGCTGGCTGGTGCATCACTTCGGTTTTCTTTGTGTTAATAAGGAGGCCGAAGTTGTCGCATGCTGCTGTGAATTTGTCCGTGCTGGCTTGCATTTCCTGCTCTGATCCAGCATTCAGGGCACAGTCGTCAGCAAAAAGGAGGTCTCGTAGCACAGTCTCCTTTATCTTGGTGACAGCCTGGAGTCTTCGCAGGTTGAACATTTTCCCATCTGTCCTATATCTCAGGCTGACTCCCAAGGAACTGTTCTGAAAGGCATCTGACAGCATGGCTGAAAACATCATGCTGAACAAGGTCGGTGCCAACACGCACCCTTGCTTGACGCCGTTTGTGACGGGAAAGGCCTCTGAAGCTTTTCCGTCGTCCAGAACACGAGCCGTCATGCCGTCGTGGAACTGACGTACCATCAGAATGAATCTGTCAGGGCACCCAAACTTTGACATAATGCACCACAGACCTTCGCGACTGACATTGTCAAAAGCCTTGGTGAGATCCACGAAGATGGTGCACAGTTCACGATTCTGCTCTTGACACTTCTCCTGGAGCTGTCGGGCTGCGAAGATCATGTCCACCGTGCCACCCTCTTTACGGAAGCTGCACTGTGTCTCGAGTAGTAGACCCTGTTCCAGGTGGTCAGTCAGGTGATTCAGCAACACTCGTGCAAGGATCTTGCCTGCGATGGAAAGCAGTGATATTCCTCTATGATTATCGCAGACTTGTCGATTTCCTTTCCTCTTATAGAGGTGTACAATGGACGCGTCTTTCAGTTCCTGAGGAATGGATCCTTGATTCCAGAAGGACTGGAACAGCTGAGTGAGTTTGTCGACAAGCACTGCACCACCAGCCTTATAGACTTCTGCTGGGATCGTGTCAGATCCTGGGGCCTTGCCACTAGACATCTGGCTGATGGCCTGTAAGGTTTCAGTCTCTGATGGTGGGACGTCCAGGCTGTAGTTGATATCCGCCTGGGGCATTCTGTCAATCGCCTCATTATTGATGGAAGATGGGCGGTTCAGTTCCATTCAGCCCAATGCTGTAGAATCAGAGTCTTGTCAGTAATGAGAGTTACACCATCTGAGTCCAGTATAGGGGAGCTCCCTGAGGGCTGAGGTCCATACAAGGATCTGAGGGCTTCATAGAACAGTTTGGCATTGTTTCCATTGTTTCAGCAGACTTCTGGATTTCATCTGCTTTGGCACTCCAGGAGTCCTGCATCTTGCGAAGCTTGCTCTGTACGGTCCTGCGAGTGTTATTGAAGTTATTTTTCTTAACTGTTGACGGCGGGTCATTCTGATGAGCACGGTGAAGGCGGTACTTTTCAGCAAGTAGGGCCTTGATCTCTTCTTTGTTTCCCTGCAGACGTCTCTTTGGCTTGATGTAAAGGCTTAATTTGGAGATGATGAGTCTGTGGTCAGTCCAACAGTCAGCACTCGGCATGGCCTTGGTCACCCTTACATCCTGTCTGTCTTTCCTCCGCACGATGACATAATCAATAAGATGCCAGTGCTTGGAGCGTGGGTGCATCCAGGACGTCTTTTTGCAAGTGGGCAGGCGGAAGATGGTATTGATGATGATCAGATCATGAGCCACACATGTCTTCAGTAGAAGTAGGCCATTGCTGTTACATTTGCCTATTCCATTTTTTCCAATGACGCCATCCCAGGCAGAGTTATCGGACCCTACTCTCGCGTTGAAGTCGCCAAGTAGAATCAGCCTGTCGGTGCGCTTCACGGATGAGAGTAGGGCATCGAGATCTTCATAAAACTTGTCCTTTACTTCATCCAGATTCGTCATTGTGGGTGCGTAGGCGCTGATCAGTGTGGCTTGCTTTCCACTCGGTAGTGGGAGATACAGTGTCATGAGTCGGTCGTTCACATCCTTAGGAAGACTGGCAAGTTTGCAGACAAGATAATTCTTAACCGCAAAGCCAACTCCAGATTCACGACGTTCGTCACTGCTGCGTCCACACCAGAAGAATGTGTAACCGCCTCCTGTTTCTGTGAGCTGACCTTCGCTGGCTAGGCGAGTTTTACACAGGGCCGCAATATCGATGTTAAATCTTGCGAGCTCTTTTGCGACCAGGGCTATATATATATACATATATATATATATATTTTGCGCTTACCGCTTATTACTTAAAAAAACTGCTTAAAATAAACTTACATTTATCAAGGGGGACACATGGTGCCCGGTAACTTTCTGGGTTTCCTACAAAAGCTATCATGTCGTTTACAAAGTCGCATGGCACACTGCTGGTGACATACTTCTTGGGCTGCATGTGCCAGGCAAATAAGTGCCAAGGGATGAATGAGAATAGAACTACCAAGGCAGTCATTTTGACCGTTTTTAAATTTGCAATGTAATAATTTTGTTGAAATAAAACCCATATACCTATAATAGTCTGACTTTTCTTAAATGTGTGTATATTTTATTCTAACACTGTTATTGTATTAAAATTACAAAACACAAAAGAGGTCTGAGTATTTTTACCTTGAATGGCCAAAGCATATAAATTGACTGTATACATTACAGACGGCATATAATTTCAGCTTTTGCAACTTTATCCCGCGGTTGAAGATGCACGTCACTGTTGCCTAGCAACTTTAGTTGTTTTTGTACTCTATTGCTAAGCTAAAATTCCCGTCCGTAAAAAAAAAAGCTGGGTGGACACCTCTAATTCGACAACAGCTGTCATTCAATCTGCCACAGTTCCATGTAGCCTGGCTGTTATCAATAATATGTATATGTTATGACAAAATAGCCATTATTATTATGTTAGTGTAATGCTATAACTAATGCATATAGGCTAATTTTACCCCTGACAAGACTGATATTGTGAAATAAAACAAATTAGGCTTTTTTTTTTGCGACAGTGACAATGTTTATTATTACCTATACTATCATAACAGATCCATTTATTCATGGATTATGATTCCAGTGGTGGCTGCATAGAATTGTTTCCTATTCGTGTGATCCAAACATTTCAAATAACTCCAGAACGTTGTAACGTATAAAACTCAAAATGTATTGAAAAAAGATATATGTAATCATTTCCAAAACACGTTTTATCTACCGAAATATTTGTTGGCATTTAGACTTTCAAATACAAAATTTTCACTGCGGTGAAAAACCTTTGCTCTCCTGCTTGCCGGACACAAAGCGAGACAAGCACATTCAGGAGTGGTCTAGTAGCTCTTACACAATTATATATTTAAAAAAATATCATATTTTTTTTATGGTGATGACTTCATAAAATATGACGACAGACATTCAAAGCTTCATTGTAAAACCTCAAAAGACGCTTCAAATATAAATATGATATGACAAAAATAGCATTCAATTCAGTCTAATATGAACGGTAAGAATGACCGCTATGGCCATTCTAGTAGTTATATAATTCCAGTAGTTCTAGTGTTAATGAATAGCTCTCTTATGGTACATCAGTGCTCCTTGAAGTGTTAGTTGTGTGCATTTGATAATAGCACAGCCAATGTGTTCATGCATAAAATGAGTTAAGTTCAGTAATTTAGTAATGTTACATTGAAATGTTACTATGTGTGATTTATTTTATATACATTTTTATTTTTAGAGAAAATAACCATTTTTAATATCTGCCATAACATGAAAATAATTATCAGCTTATTGTTATGTGACAAACTTTTAATATTGGTACATTCCTAGACGTAGATGTGTAAGTGAAACAGGAATGAGACTAACCCAAAAAGAAACCAGTCATATGCGATAGTCAGGTAAAGGATCTCAGACGGCTCTAGACTTGCATGAATGGCACGGTCCTATAAAAATGCAAAATTAATTAATCACAAAGAAAGGAAAAGAAAGGAAAGAGGTGAGGGAAAAGAAATGAGGATATTTAGCATGGTGGAGTGAATAAAGATATAAAATGAGGACATATGTAACGAGAGACAGAGGAATGAATACTTACCGCCCACAACGAAAGTCTGAGCAGGGATACAAAGAGAGGTGTCCTGTCCCAGCCTGATATACAGTGCACCAGTAAACCGTTCTCATCTGCAGGCCACAACACTCCAAATAGTTATCCAAAATTATACAGAGAAGTAAAACCTGTTCTATAGTTCGGCAAAGATGTTTGTGAAAGTGCAGTAATTTACCATCAGAGTTGATGATGTGTAAAAGCAGTTTCAGGTAGTTCTGAGTCTGCTGCACCAGGTCCCATGACTGAAAAACATACACACATAATCGGAGTCTGTGGATCACCATCCAGCATTCTTCATTAACCTTTGTCAGTGAATTAACCATCACTGTTCATTGTGTCTACTAATAAACAGTGATAATTATTTTTCATTTAATTTTGAAGACACCCAAAAGCTACTGTTCAATGTAGTACTCTCACACCAGGAATACATTTATTTATATATATATATATATATATATATATATATATATATCTTTATACATTATATCTTTAGAACAGTAAGGTCTGTGCCTTGACATCAATTACTAAACTATGTTTGACAAAAACGCTACCAATTTAATCTCAAATTATCTAAAAAGATGGAGACATTTTGCCGGTCGTGTAGCCTGCTTCAACACATTTTTAATGCAAAGCCAACCAGAGTTTTTAGATCCAGCTTGTGCCATTTCCTTAAACCCAGTCAACCCCTGTCTATCTAAAAGAAAATGCATGAGAGACTCTGAGTACCTGATATTCACTCCAGTTGATGTTGAGGTTTCTTGTAAAGAAATCAGGGATTGTCAAAGGAGCATCCATATAGTCCTAAACACGCACAACCAAAAGTGATGGTCAGTGAAAAATCAAATGCACTTAATTAAACGGTTTCTGTTAAACCTCTCTGGCCAAACAACAACCCAGCCTAATATGCAGAGGTATGAAAGTGACTTTAATAAAGCAATATTTTTTTTTCTGTTTGTGCTTGGTATGGACCTGATTCCAGTTGAAGACAAGCCCTTCTGCTGTGTAATCTCTGTCTTTATATTCCCTGAAGAATTCACATCCTGAAAAAAAAAATCACATGAAACAACTTAAATTACAACTATAGTGTAACAATTACTTATACCATAGAATAAGTAGAACAGAACAGAAATTGTTTCTTGAAATTAAATCAGCATTAAGAAGATCTACACCTGGATAAGGCACAGAGAGTAGGGTAAAGTCAGCATAACGGTGGGCCTTGTCCACCTTTTCTGAGGAAGTCACACTGAAGCACAAAATTGTAAAGACAGAAAGAGACATATGAACAAAATGTAAGTCAACACAGTCATGTCATAATAAATACTGTACCAGGGTCTAAAATTAACTCCCGCAATGTAGTTTAAAACATGTTAGTATGAAGACACATTTGAAAAATGGCCACAGAATAAACTGCAGTACGATAACTACAAAGCTGTCCAAAATCTGGGAGCCAGCTATTGTTGTTAATCTTTAGAGACTTCCCTGAGTAAGCGCAATTGTATGTACATCAACAATCAAAGCCAAAAAGAGAAAGGTGCACATCAATGTATAACAAATTTAGAATAAAAAATAAAGACTGTCTGGTCTTTATTCTGGATCCTGATAATGGTTCTGGTTTTGGGTGTGAAAGCCAAAGCTTAATATCATTATTTATGACACATAATTTACTAAACATCATGTCATATTTAACAAAAGCATTCTAACATGAATGCAACAGAAAGTTCACTCACTTAAGGCCAAACTTGACCTTCTTATTCTCTACCATGAGGTCACAGATGTAGCATACAGACAAGTACTTCAACAGCTTAATGTCAGAGCCCCTAACCTTATCAAACAACTGTGAATCATTATTCCTGTAGAGTGACAGAGAAAGAACAGAATAAGAGGAAAAAAGATGATTAGAAGACAAATATTTTCTTACAAAACACACACAAAATCAGTTCTGTCACAATTCACAGGAGCATGCCAAGAACCATTGTTAAACTACTGATCTATGTTTACAACTGTCTATATAATTGAAACATTTGGCTCCTTGTAAGATTGTGCTCCTTGCCAGCTTATCTTACCGAACTGCACAGTCATCCTCTGGAACCTCTTCAGCATCACCAAAGGTGTCATCTGAACCCCCTGCAATAGTCTGAGATTAAACCTAATGCAATCCAACAAGTAATGTTCACAGCTACATCTACACTGCCCCACAGTTTAAGCTCTCTTATTAAATGATTGTAGCTTGAGAAGTTCAGACCATGTAATAGAAATGTTACAATAATCTCTTCAAGGTATTAATCAATGGATGTAGTTTAACAAATTAACAATACATTCTATCTTGTAATGCAGGGGTGTCCAATCCTGCTCCTGGAGGGCCACCATCCTGCAGAATTTAGCTCCAACCCTAATTAAACACACCTGAACCAGTCTTCAGGCTTACTAGAAACTTTCAGGCAGGTGTGCTGGGGAAGTTGGAGCTAAACTTTGCAGGACATTGGCCCGTCACAAGCAAGATTGGACACCCCTATTCTAATGTATATACATACGAGTCTTTATCTTTGTAATATTTTCACAGTTCAGTTTAAGTGACGGAAGCTGTGCATTCAATTTTTTTGGGTTTTGCTGTCAGAGACAGATAATTGAGGTCTATGCCAAAAAACCCAGACAGCACCCAAGTAGGTGTTTGAGCTGGTTCAGTGACTAGATCTGAGCCTATTTCACAAACACTGCAATATTTTCAAGCATGTTTGATATTACCGTCTCATAATCCTGAAGTGTGACTGCTACAGCCAATCATCTAAGCAAACAAGATAATAAAGGAGGAGAATGGAACTTCAACACAATATGTCTTGTGTGAATTTATATGAGAAAACAGATTTTTCCCATTGACCACGGATGTCTTTTGGCCTCAAGGCTTACACAAGTCCACAAACCTATGACTCTGTCAAGTTCACCAGATCAATAGCTTTAACTGACTGCCCAAATTAGTTACTTAATTAAAATGAATTGAATCTTTTAATGACACCAGGACCATCACAGATAGCCCACTGGCATCTGAATAACAAACTTAAATGGGTGTAAATGGCGAGGAAGGCTAGGACTTCTATGACAGGAGTTGAGGGGGGAGGTTATACTCCATTATAGGCAATTGTCCCTATTTATTTGTTGGCATATGGATGCAGGTTAGGGAACATTTCCAGTAAACAAAAAAGACAAATACTCCAACATTTTCAGTCTATTAGTAAAGAAATCCATATCTAATCTACCAAGACCTATAAGCAGTTTTTACTTTATGAACTCTAGACTGCAATATTCAAGAGAGCTTCCATATTTGCAGTACAAAGTAACTCGAGTTAAGTGTCATGTACAAATGCACAATGTCAGTGGTGAGATGAAGAGTATAAACAGTACTCAGTACTATACAGTGATCAATTGTTTTTTTATTGCCCTTCTGGAAATGTAAACTTGTAAGGAATCACTCAAACAGAACACATTCTGTCTGCTCTATTTTTTCCATTGTTGGAGAAATGTCTTTGGCAGTTGCACGACATCTCATGGTATTTTCAGCATCTTGCAGCATGTATCAAGTTAATATTTGTCAACTTTTGATACATCATTATGATGCTGATATAGCTCGTAGTAGCTAACAATGAATGTGTACCTGAAAAAATGTAGTTGTATCCAGTGCGTCCATAAAGTTCGCCCCAACCTGCTAGAGTGGATGATCGACACACATGCTACAATAAAGGAGAAAAAAAAAACAGTTTAAGGTTACTAGAACTAAAACAGAAACACAGGTCCCTGGCAATGCTAACTACAGAGGAGTCTGGCTTGTTAGAAGTTCCTAGTAAATTATACCAACCTTCAAAGTCAAAGGCTGATAGTCCAGAACTCTACACTTCAGTACTAAAGATCCCGACAGCCAGATTTCACAAGAAAAAATTTAATCTGTTATTGACACTATGATTTGTCTACTATCAATAAACCAATAACCGATCAATAACCAAATGCCTAACAGGGGTCATGTCCTACAACTATAACATAGTAGTCTATTACAAAAAATGAAACGCCAACAGAAAGCATCTGGCAGTCCAAAAAACTACTATGTGGCAAATTGTTCACTGAACATTTTCAGATTTGCTTGTGGCAAGATAGTTACCTTTCCATTGTAGAGGATGACTGGACAGACAAATCTTCCTCTACAGCGAGCCATCTTACTACGGTTCACCAGATCCTGCAACTTACTGATCTGCACAGTACTCTCAAAGCTGAATATAGATGAAGAGAAAAAAAAAAACATTTGTATACACTGGTGACAGACCAATATATAATCTGATATTTAACCATTCGAGATTCAATACACAATAACTTTGCCCACATGGCCAATTAACAGAAATAGTCATAAGAATAACAGGTATAATGTCAACATTATAACAAAAAGGTATGTCTTCAGATTTCATTCACAAATATTAGCCTGCAGTTAGAAAACCATGCAGTCTTCCCACAATGTTCTTAACTACAGATGTGGCATTACTATCAAGGATATAAGCGATGTAGTTACATTAAACAAAGTAGATCAACATTTCTATACCAGTAATTAAAAGACAATTACAATGTAGTGAGTGATAAGCAAAGTAGGTAGGCTCCTTGTGTTTGAGTAGCTACTCTAAAGTTCCATGTCTTTGTTTTAACATTTGAGTTAACAGCAATAAATGCAGACTCATATCATGTAACTGTATAATCTCAGATGCAATATCCTGATTTAATGCTAACCTAACTTTAGATAGCTTATCTCTCAAGAAAGCCCCAAATTTACCTACATTTAAAGTTGACAAAAAAATTCCAAATGGTATCTGGGTGATAGTTCAAAGAACTGTCAGAATCCAAGGGTTGTTTTGGTTCTTCGAGACCATAGCTGCTCAGATTGCATTATTTAAAATGGACTGGTGTCATCTTAACATCATGTCATCTCATCAACTTTGAAAAATTGTCTTTAGTTACATTCAGCTTTTTTGCAATTCCTTTTAAGGTTTATAATTAGGGCTGTCAGTTTGACGCATTAATTTAATTAATTAGTTATGGAAAAATAACGCAATTAAAATAACGCAGTTATTAAAATATTTTAAAGCAGTTTAATGCAGAACATTTTGTAATATCTATTTCATGCTTTTCTTATGTAACAATAATTGCTTTTAAATTATCATTTGTGAGTAATTGCTCAGCCAAATTTGATGTGTGATTGATATGTGATTAATTAGATTTATTAATCGCCACATTGTGTAATTAATTAGGTTACAAATTTTAATCAATTGACAGCCCTATTTATAATATATCTCTCACTACACGAAATCAACAAGTTAATCCATGATTAATTCTGGCACCACTATTCAAAACATTCTATACCAGAGCATCCTTCTATGCAATACAATACTGGAAGTCTTTAAGGATAAAGGCACAGTCACACTAGACTTTGAGCATGCAATTTTTTTTTTCCAGACATGATATTATGTCATCACCTGTGGTGACTATTTTAAAAACATAAATTTAACATGTAACCAATAATTATTAAATCTAAAATGTAAAGATATATAATCTATAGTGCTGTCAATCGATTAAAAAAATTAACCAATTAATCACACTTTTTTCTGCGATTAATCACGATTAATCCCACCTAACATTAAAGTTTTTAAATATACTTTTATATTGCAATAATTTCACATTCAGTCTTCAAATGAATGTAGAAACAACATTAAGGCAGTATATTTTTTATATTTGTTTAACGTCATCTTTTTTTATGACTGAAGGCGAGTATCACTGATACCAACAATACTACTGATGTCTCTAGGAAACTTTTTTCCCCCTAATATTTAACCATTGACTATAGCCATTCAACATTACAGTATAATTGAGAGCTATCAATTTTAACATTTATTAGACTTTAAAGAAAACTTTTAATAGAAGTCTACACATAAACCCTATAATAAATGTTATATTTACCTGTGCCCTTCAGCAAGTAGGAAATATTCAGAAATTGAATAAAGTTATCAAACACTAAATTCTAAATTAAATATTGATGAATCCTTAAAGCTACAAAAGTTATTGATTTCCTCTTTTTTTTTTCTTTTGTTCTTTGATGAACAGACATCAAAGCAGCTGGGTTGCTGCTTTAAGAGTTGCCGCTGCTAAACATCACGCATCTTTAATCGCCTTTTTGGTAACTTCATGACTTAACTGATGACATAACTACGACATTGCATGCTCGTAGTTTCATTTGCACTTTAATATTATATTATACACAGTGTGCTGCCGCAATTGAAGGGTAGTGCTACGAGCACAGTATAACGGCTGACAAGACGGGAAAATTATATTTTACTGACATATGGCCTGACAACATCTCATCTGACTGCAGTTCACTCTTGTTCTACTGAATCTCCTTGTCACCTGTACCTTTTCACACTCATTTGACTAGCGCCTGGCACTGAGGTGAAGTTGAAGTGTCTGAAAAGTGAGTGGGGTGGCCAACCCTAGCTCCGCCCCTGCGTTAATTTATTTCTGCGTAAATATTTTTAACGCGTTAAACTGAAAAAATTAATTGCATGCATTAACACGCTAATTTTGACAGCACTAATAATCTACTCTACTTTCCTGCAATGCTACAAACCTGCAGCTTTCTTCTATTGGTCATGTGACTTCAAGTAATGCAAATTCACAGGTCAGAGTTCAAAGAGTTTAAAGAGAGTTTTTTGTTTTTGTTTTTAATACTCCATGTAGGGTTTTGTGCAGTGTGTTGCTCCCAACAAAGAGCTGTAGTGCTCGTGGGGACCTGGGTACAAGTCCTGGGTCATGTCCCCGTCCCATTTCCTGTCTACCACTACTTTCCTGTCAATTCTACACTGTCCTATGTAGTAAAAGGCAAAAATCCAATGAACAAAATAACAAGGATTTAGATGTATATCATTAAAAGAAAATTACAGCATAAAAATTAACACAGAAATGTAGTCTTTATTACTGAAATTCTGAACCATGTTACAGCAGAATTTGGCTAGTAGGCTGTAAGTAAAGTAATGTGTAGTCGCATAATATGACATTTACCCTTACTGATAAAATAACAAGCATTCAAATTTATAAATGTACTGTAAGTAGTTTTGACAGGCTGTGCATTTCAACATTTATCTGATAATGGTTGATGTTTCAAACCTCACATAACTGTCAACGTTGATAAAAAAAATTTGAAATATCTTATGTAAATAATCATTATCTAAAATGCTTACATCGAATATATAAGAAATAATTTGATCTAAAATGATGAATACAGACCAAAAATAAAAAAAATAAAAATACAACAAATCATAGAAATTAACATTTTTATTTTTATATTTTTAATTTTGTGTGAGCGTATTGAAACTTGTCATGCATAAGTAGTGACACATTTAGATGAAACATGAGCTCATTGATGTAATTTAATCGGTCTGCCATTTTTTTTCCCCATTGGTTACTCCTGCTTAAGAGGCTTCCATAAAAATGTAGTTGATATGTGGTGTACGTTTCAACTAATGTGCAACGCTTAAAAATGTACTAGAGCGTAAATTGTAAATTACTACATCTTTAGGCCCACAACTTTTAACTTTTAACTTTTGCACAGCTGGTGCAACCAGCCCTTGTGAAGGCATATGTCATTGGAAGTACAGCAATATAGTAATCAACCATGTTTTTCTTTTACTATAAAAATCATGGTATCTTTTAGGGTTGTGCCGATAGACAATAGTATTGTGTATCAACGATAGTCTGAGATATAACCTGTGGCTGATGCCCTTGACAATAGCAAGACAATTATTATTATTATTATTATTATGCTAGTAATGCTATCTAATTAATATTAGGGCGTATTTGTTCCATCATATATCTTTTTCCATGTTTTTACAGTGTTATAACCAATCACACTCGATGCCGTTGAGTTTGAGTGTTTTTAAAGTGCATAAACTCGAGCTAGAATGAAGTCATGTTCTTTTTTGATAATGTAAATGTTCTTTGCTCCTTGCTGAGGAACTGAGGAAATGTAAGCATTATAATTAGTAACTTACAATGTTTCTATTAAATTGTTATCATGTTAAATACAAATTCATATTAAAAATATTTTATGACATGATATTTTATGACAATATTTTATAACATTAGGCTGCTTTTTAGCCCCTGGAGTTGGTCCACTCTCTGGCTATGAAACTAAGTAAGTAAATAATTAAATAAATTAGCATGATAATATTGTGTATCGGCGATCTCACAGGCTGACACTAGATTTATATGACTATAAAGCATATCGCCCAACACTAGTATCTTTCAAGAATCTATTTTCAAATAAATAAGGCAAAACATAAATATTAGGGCTGTAGCTATCGATTATTTTAGTAATCGAGTATTCTACAGATTATCCCATCGATTAATCGAGTAATCGGATAAGAAGTCATTTTTCTTTATTAAAGAGCAATACTAAATATACAAGAGATAAGATAGATCTCTTAAATTAAACAACTAATTTGTTTTCGTTTTAGAAAAATTTAAATTTTTATTGCTGAAATTGCATACATTAATAACCGTGAAAACTAAACCCATTTAATGTATTTAATTGCCAAATTGCATTCAAAATGCAAATACAAATATATCAATAAAAAAATAAAATAAATAAAAATACAAAAATCTATTTCACATTACTTTAAAAAAGGTAAACAGTACAAACTAAAACTAAGGCATAAATCAAAATAATAGTAATAGAAATAATAATAATACCTAAACTTTGCATTTATGTCGTGCAACGTAACTTTCAAGTTTCAACCTAAAGCTCAAGCATGACATAAGCCTTTACTGTCTTCTTGGAAGGCTTTGTGGCTTTTGTGAGAGGCAAAAGTCAGTGGACAGGAAGGTAACTTGGAACAAAATATAGCAAAAACAGGCAATATAGTGTCTAAAACGTAAGTCTCATTATATTACCTTCTTGTTTATTGAACTGTTGAATAAAATCACATTTGTAATCATGCTGATTTTAGAGGTGAAAACTGGCACTCTTCGTGTGATATTGACTAACTTTATTTCTGTGGTATTTTTATGCACAATGGCGTTTAGTCTTTCACAAAACATAGCTAACGTAGGGACATTATAACTAGCCACCATATTGATTTACGGTCTTAAATATGTCCAGCGCTTTTTTTAAAAGGCTGGTTCCTGTTTTTATACAGTCTATGGTCTGGTCCAGCGTTTATCGGATTGTGCGTCAGTAACAATGGTCCGTGGGGAAACATGGTGTTCCATGTGTAGTTACAGTAAATGGACTAAACAAAACCTCGAAGCAAATAATTTGCCTCAATGATTTTTTGTATTCGAGTTACTCAAGGTATTCGAGGAATCGTTTCAGCTCTAATAAATATAAAGTGCTTCTTTCCAAAACTGACTATTTTGACAACATAACTAACAACTAGTCTGTCTACTGTGAGTCTTCAGTAGACTAAAAGAGACAGTGATGTTTTTACCTCTCTTTATTGTTGTCTGAAGATTCATATTCCAGAAACACAATCTTCCGTGGGTAGTGACCACACACCTCCCCATTGGTGTTGTGGATGATACTGTACTTGTAGTCCCGGTCAAACAGCTCCAAACAGCGCTCCTCTATTCTCTCTACCTGAAAATACATATATAAAATTTTCATAAAAACTTTCATAAAGCAAAAAATTATCAGAAGAACAAGAGCAAGTTCAACCCTCTAAATTCAGCAACAATCAGAAACAGATATGACTCATAACCAGTGTTGGGGAAAGTTACTTTTAAAAGTAATGCATTACAATATTGCGTTACTCCATAAAAAATAACTAATTACATTACTTAGTTACTTTTTATGGAAAGTAATCAATTATGTTACTTTTGCGTTACTTTTTAAATCTGGACAGGGCTTGCTTGTTTGTTTTTAAAATAAGAAAGTTCTATTTAAATTTACGTCCGTACAGTAGAATGCAGAAGAAGAAATGTCAACACACTTCAGCAATAAAAAAAGAGACACAAATGTTTGTCTAGAGTAATTTTTGCTTATTAGTATGGTTGAACTGGATCATCGAGGGTCAGAAGCAAAGACATTGGTTAATAGAATGGGATTAAATACATAAAGGATATTTGTGTTGTTTAACATTTAATTATTGCAGGTTTGCTTGCATCATATTCTGAGTTGCATTATTTTTATTCATTTTGAGGAATACTGAATCTGTGTTTTTTTTTTGTGAGTGAGATGAATTAATGCATATTCATATTTTTTTTAGAACTACAGTAACATCTTCTGCTTTCTCTTAACATGGGGACAGGAGAGCTGTCAGTCAATAAATTGGAAAAAAAAGTAACTTGCGTTACTTATTTGAAAAAGTAATTCAGATATTCTCTTGTAAATTAAAAAGTAATGCATTATTTTACTAGTTACTTGAAAAAAAGTAATCTGATTACGTAACTCGCGTTACTAGCTAAGGAACTTTAACCAGCCCCAACACTGCTCATAACTAAAGTAATTTACTTTTTTTGTGTTAAAAATAATGCTGGATCAAACAGCGTAACTTTGGTGTCAATTATGAAAAGACATGCTAACGCTATGAAAATACTTTCTTAAAGACAAAATTGACTATATTCTAATGGAACTTTTAACTGTTAAATAGTAGGATGAAGAAGTTGTTCAATATGGTTTAGCCACCTTTTATTTAGCAAATATCAGAGCTAAAAGTCAGTTTATTCACATTTGCAGTAAAAGCTAATTATTTTAAGTGTGCAAATCATTTTAACTATGCAACCAGTTTAACAATAACTGCCTGTGAAATATGAGAATGGTTATGTCATTTTGACAAGAACCTGCATTATTTCCCTGGACTTTCATCATCTCTGAGACAACACCTAATGTTAACCACAACACTGAGCCATAGTGCTCATGTAGACCAACGAGTGTAAAGACCTGCAACTTTACCTGCGCGACTTCACCGAGCAACGAAATCGCCAAGGCACTTAAGTATATTTTTCTCCAAAAATGACAATGATTACAACTGTGATATTGATTTTTTTACAACAGTTCAATAAACAAGAAGTTAATTAAGAGACTAAAATATCGTCTAATTATCGTTATCGATAAAATCCCAGAAAATATCGAGATATTATTTTTTGTTAATATCGCACACCCCTAGTTCGAACCCAAAATTCAGCCTGTTATTTTGCTACGTCTGATCTACACCATAACTTCTATATGACTGCTTGCATTTATAGTTCTGCATTGGTGTGTTTGTGCCATTCTGCAAGTACACCTGCAGGCCCTATGTGCGCATCCCTTTCAGAAGGGTGTTCACAAGCATTCCCTTTGAGAATGCTATGCATACTCAACGCATGGTCTCTTGGTTAGCATGACAGATTACAACTGTGGACAAATTACAATTACTGTGGTCTATAGACAGGACATATAGTTACATTAAATCAGTCTTAAGGTTGTGGGTTAGTTTTAACTACTGTGATGGTGTGTTAGAACGTCAGCATCATCTCTCATCCCTTTTTCAACAAAATTAGCATACAAAGTTAATAAAAAAAAAAAAAAAAGGTAAAATAAAGAAGAACATGTCTAACGTGTATTCATTTTTTCTCTGCTTAATCTGTGACTTTGGAAAGAAAAGACTCATGACTCATGAAATCAATTTCCCTTTGGAAGTTCCTTAAAGTCATATGAGCTGATTCCAGCTGCTGTGCCTTAAAACCTATTGAAATGCCTTCCTAGATAATACTGTCCTGCTATCATAATGAAGAAAAATGCTTAATTATGAAAGCATTATTATGTAACATTATGAAGTAATGACATTAAACACTATTAATGTTTTACTTATACCACATGACATTATCAAATTCACTAATTTATGCATTTATTATTATTTATTTACTTATTATTCATTTGACAATTGTATAACTTTTTCCACAACCATATTAAACCAACATGAATACATTGATATGAATTTGGCACGTGTGTTAATCTACTTTTTTTCCTTTATCACGGACACTCTTAAATGCCATTGGCCTATTTAACAGCTGCTTTGCATTATGGGAAGGAATTAACTGATGTTTGATGTCTTCGGTCTTACCGACGGGGTGACCTCCCTTGCTCTGTACTGACTCTTTGAAAACACATCGATCAGTTCGGTAATCTCCTCGCTCCGGCTAGCCATTATCGAGCCGTCACCCGCCTTCTGATCGATTCGAACCCGGCCTTCCTTAAATAGCGCAGCTCCCTGGGTCCGAGAGGATCCTCCAGGCCATCCCTTCAGGGCAAGCTTTTTCCTCACCGCCCGCTTTAAGGCGCCGGAGCCGGTGACGCGTCCCGAGTTCAGGGTCCTGGCGGGATGATTCCCCTCCACAGTACTGGTGATCAAAATAACCCGTTACCGACGGTACTATAAGACACGCGAGAAACTTCAAAACGTCTCAACGTTATTATTTCTCCAAATTAGCAAAAAGACAAGAGTTTTGTAATTGCCGTTTCCGTGTGTCGTTTATTTTCCAGCACTCACGTCAAAACACCGCATGCCACAAAATAACCCGGTCACTAATCACAGGAAATCCACACGATTTGAAGTCTTAACACGCTTTTTATCCTTGAGTTTTATAATCAACTTGATTTTGATCTGGAGACAAAACATTCAGTGTTGTTTTCAACCCCAAAACTGTCGGGTGTGTGTAAAGGCATACAGAAGAGCGATGTGTAATGCTGAAATGAAATCTATCCGTGTTGGATATAGCTAAGGAACTTTAACCAGGGCCAGTAGTAAACAGGACACTGAAGTGATCATGTGATCTGTACTTCCTGAAAGGAGACGTCAAGCTGTCACTGCTGGGTTGTATGGTTGTTTGCCATTTCAGCTCAGAGCGTTAGCTCTTGTATTTGCCCAAATTGTTTAAATTAGTAATTAGGTTCATTAGAAACGGGCATTTACTTAATAATATAAGATTTATTAGTTTTTTATCTTATTGCCTATTCTTACATTATTTATTTATTTATAGATAAGATAAATTTGGGACTTATCCTTGTAATGCCATGAAAACTCTTAATGCAGATGGAAGTAGCCCTGTGAAATTAATTTAAGGTACCATAGATTTTATTTTGAAAGCGATGCTTTTATTGTTCCTCAGGCATTCTTCCTCTTCGAGGAAGAAGCATTTTGTCACTTGGCTGTTGCTGTTTTTTTAATAAACAAATTGTTTTGCAGTTTTCTGTGACTGTATGAACGTGACAATATTTAGTTTTTTATAATTTAGTTATTATATTTTTTTATTTTTAAACCCTTGGCTGTTATGGTATGCAATTGTTGTTCAAGCATTAAAATAAAAAAATTAAAGTCCCCTTGCAGTAACTAATTTAGTTTAAATTTCATCATTTTGATAATCAAAATGTCATATTTAAACATTTTTTCCAATGAAAATAATTTCTTCATGCCTATATGGTGTGAATATAACTTAGATACTCTATACCTTATTCAGTATACGCAGAACCATGAATATACAAATTAGTCCCAACCGACACTAAATCGCACCAGCTTGGACTACCCCACTTTCACTCGGTTAACTTCAGTAGTAAACGTTACACAATGGCAGGACTGCCAACTCTCACGCATTCAGCATGACTCGCACCACACATTCATTTTCTCACATGGTGAAAAGCACCCTCAGATGAAAGCAAGAGCTCCCTCAGCTGAAACGGTGATCATCAGTGGTGTACTGGACACCCCCGCGGTACCGTGGGGGCACACAGAACCAGTGGCGGACCGGAACTAGAGTTTTATATATGGGGTGGCCAAGGCTAATTCAGGGGGTCCATAGACCATGACAGAAAATCAGTGTATAACTCCAACCTGGCATAAAAAAATGCATGAATAAATCCTACAATTGCTGATTACTTCACATTACCCCACATTAGCTATACATTCCTACCATAACTTCAAATGTTTAATCTATTGAAACTTATTTCTCTTATTTCTATCATCTCATTAACTTGTAGGCTAGTGAATTTTGTAAATGTTGTTCAGGAACCCAAAAACTTCAATTACTTCAAACAGGGCTGACAACTTTTAAGTTCAGCCTGGAGTGAGAATTCAGGAATAATTAACAAGCCTGCGATTACTACCAGTCAAACGTTTTTGAACAGAAAGATTTTTAATGTTTTTTTTTTTGAAGAATTCTCTTTTGCTCACCAAGCCTGCATTTATTTGTTCCAAAATACAACAAAAGTACTAATATTGTGAAATATTTTTACCATTTAAAATAACTGCTTTCTATTTGAATATATTTTAAAATGTAATTTATTCATGTGATTTCAATCCTGAATTATTAGCATCTTTATTCCAGTTACATGATCCTTCAAAAATCTTTAATATTCTGATTTGCTGCTCAAAAAACATTTATTATTATTATTAGGCCTATTATTATTATGTTGAAAACAGTAGATAGAGTAGATTTTTCAGGTTTCTTTAAAGGAGACATATTATTTCCCTTTTTACAATATGTAATATAAGTCTCTGGTGTCCCCAGAATATGTCTGTGAAGTTTCAGCTCAAAATACTCCACAGATCATTTATTATATCATTTTGAAAATGCTTATTTTGAAAATGCTTATTGGAAGCAGAAACACGCTGTTTTTCGGGCCTGTCTCTTTAAATGCAAATTAGCTGCTGCTCCCCGCCCCCTTTTCCAGAATAGAGATGCCATTACAGCACGGACCTGCTAAAAACATCTTTTTTGGTTCTGGTTATCATGTTTATCGCGCTGAAATCATGCGTTTTAAACCATATGAGTTTAAACTTCTGATATACTGTTTTCTGAGAGAAGACATTCTAAGCACAAGGACAGAAAGTGGCTGTCACAGCATGCAAGTACTAAACTAAGTTCTCTTTCACACACAAGTTTACGTTAAAAACACACGAGTTACAAAAACAGTCGTCAGGTTTCTTTGATGAATAGAAAGTTCAGACGAACAGCATTTATCTGAAATAGAAATCTTTTGTAACATTATAAATGTCTTAATCATCACTTTTGATCAATTTAAAACATCCTTGCTAAATAAAAGTATTAATTTCTATAATTTCTTTCACAAAAAAATATAAAAATAAATAAATAATTAAACTGACTCCAAGTGTATAGTGTATAATCTTACAAAACATTTTTATTTCAGATAAATGCTGATCTTTGGATCGTTCTATTCATTAAATTAATCCTGAAAAAAAATGTACTCAACTGTTTTAAATATTGTAAATATTCATAATAATAAAGAAAATGTTTCTTGAGCAGCAAATCAGCATATTAAAATGATTTCTGAAGCATCATGATGTGACACTGAAGACTGGAGTAATGATGCTGAAAATTCATTTTAATAATCAAATAAAAAGCAGCTAATTTAAATAGCAAAAATATTTCACAATATTACTGCTTTTGTTGTATTTTGGATCAAATAAATGCAGGCTTGGTGAGCAGAAGAGACTACAAAACATAAAAAATCTTACTGTTCAAAAACGTTTGACTGGTAATGTAGGCCTACTCAATTGTTCTAAACTAAACTATACAGGGAACCCTATTGTTAAGGTTAAAAGTAACAATTGATTTGTATACAAGTTCTTAGACCATTTTTTATAATAAAGTTATATCTATACATTTTTATTGATTATAATAAAAAAGAGCAATTATGAATAAATAATATATAAATGTAATGTTTGCTAAATTCTCCTCTATTGTACATTTTTCTCGCTAGTTTATGGACACTGAATGGATTTTCTGCGGTTATGTGACAGTGTTTTCAAGCTGCTGTCTTTCCGTGATTGAAACACTCATTAGGCTACATGAGACACTCATAGGCGGAGTTTCACTTTTATGCGTGGGGGGGCACCCACTGGCAGACGAGCCACGAGCAATTTTTTATATGTTCTACATTTCATGTATTTATGTAACACATATTCTAAATTAAAAATACATTTAGAATGAACAATAACTGCTGTACAAAGAGTAAAAAAAACCATAGCCTACCTAATGAAGAAAAGCCGCCTCTTTTTCCGAATTGCGTAGATGACCACTAACTTTCTTTCATCTCTTCTGGTAAATTTTCAGTCAAATCGTTTTCTGTGTGCTAGATCAGAGCTAGAGCCCTGCATTTCAGCCCGGGCCCGATGGGCCCCAACTTTTTTACGCCCCTCGGGACGGGCTTTGGGTCAATTTCACGTCATAGTTCAAACGGGGGCCTTGGGCCTGTTTTAGGCTTCTCCTTATTTTTATATTTTAGACATCCATCAATTAGTGATGAAAAAAAATTGCCGCGCTGGTGGAAACAACACGAGACCGTGCTACCGCGACTGTCAAGAGCGGCTCGACGGTGTTTAATGTCCCGCAGCAGCATGTAAGGTGCGTGCCGTCAGCGCAGCTGAACAGTTCTGCGTTCAAATGCACGCAATAGGCGTAAATTTGCCGCAAAGCACCGGCAAAAGTAATTAGGCTACCTTAAATGTGTCAGGGCAGGGGAAAATATTAAGGCGATATTTGAATTATTTACTATTACCAAGAACGCAAAGAACGGACTTGCGGAAATCTGGCAATTAGATGTTTTAATGAAAATTATCTCAAACTTGATTTTTACCGCTATTTTGAAGTTATTGTAGGTACTCTGCCTTTGCACTGTGCAAAAAGTGAGATGTCACGCCAAGGCAAAAGGCAGCTTCCACATTATATACAATATTTGGGTGCTGATCACCATTTACAGAATCATTATAGTAACATCTTTATAAAATCTAGTGATCATTGGCTATAACTAATGTAAATTAAATGTATTTTTTTTCTGACCGTAACAACCAGACAAAAAGTTAAACGTGAGTGGCTACCGTTTTGCAACCAATTTATTTGCAATGTTCGCTAACATTAAGGGATGCAAGACATACTTAGCCTATTGTTTTTACATCGAACTGAACGAAAATAGCTTAACCTTAGAACGACTTGTGGATTAATGTGAACGCCAGCAGGAATAATGCTC